TGCATACGATCAAGAAGAGATCCTTCTCACTTCCTCTGAGAAAGTACTGGTGGAAAGCATGGAACTCTTCCTGTCCAGCCAGGTCGCAAATGAGCAGCTTTTGTTTGGTGGTCGCATAGACAAGTGGTTGCAGCTCAATGCCTGCTGTTGAAGCATGCGTTTGGAGACATGATGGAAACCAAGACACTCTGCGGCAGAGGTTTTTTTTTATTGTGGTCTTTCCAACCCTGCTAGCACCACACAAGAAGAGCTTTGCTGTTGACGGGTTGTCAAAGTCTTTGAATGCACTCTGCTGGAAGATTGCATTCCGCTCTAAAAGACCAGAACACCTCTGCTTGAAAGCTTCAGAAGCTTCGGAATCATTGCCTATATCAAGCTCTTCCACGAGGCTTTGGTAGTTTTCCTCCAGGGCAGCCAGAATTTGTCTCTTCTGTGCATCACTTCTAAGAGAAGGAGCCCTGAATTTGAGCAACTTGCATTTTGGATCTCCCAGCAACTGGCAAAGGTCTTCCAGGTTTTCAAAATTTCGCTGAGATATTCTCAAGTCTTCAATGCTGCTTCCCAAAAGGCACCTCCATGGCAGCTCCGACTCACATGACAAAGCTTTCAGATACTTGCAGCTGGTGATAGCTTTCCAAAAGAGCTCCCCATTCGTGATTTTGCAGCTCCATATATCCAAATGCTCCAGTTGGCTCTTCTCTATGCCCTCGGCAAACTCCAACGTTAACTCATCTTCTCTACTACTCCATATTTCCAAATGGCGCAGCTTAAAATGTGGACTTGAGAGGGCTGACCACAGACTGCTGTCACAGACCACTCCTCCTCCCTCGTTGCGAAAAGAAAGTTTAAGCTTGATCAGCTTGCAATTGGGATTTTGTAGCGCTCTGCCCAACCATCCACCACCATCACCTGGATAAAGTGTAACGATGAGTTCCTCCAAGCCACACTTAGCGCTGCTCAGGGCCTCACCCAGGCCCGTTGCATTGCTCAGGTCCTCACTTCGGCAATCTAAAACTGACAGGCTGGTGCCCTCCTGAAGAGCCTTGCATACCCATGGCAACACTGCAGGATCAGTTTCCCAAAGTAGGTATAGTCTTTGCAGTGAACAGTTTGGACTCGTGAGTGCCTTGAAGAGTGCTTCACCTGCCCCCTCTGGAAACAGTGCCTTCAGTTCTATTAGCTTATTGCAAATGCCATTCTGAAATGCCTGTTCCCACCCTTCCTTGTCAATGTCCTCATCCAGAACGATGGCTAACTCTTCCACCTTGCACTCCTGACTTGCCAGATCCCTACTCAATTTCCCAAATCCTTCCACTGTCATCCTGTTCCTCTCCAACCAGAGATGTTTCAAGTTGTTTCCTGCTTTCCTAAGGAGTTGGCTAAGTAGAGTCTCTGGGTTCCCAACATGCCACAACTGGAGGTCTGTCAAGCAGTCGAGCTGAGCAAAGGCCAACTCAAGCTCCTGAGGTGGTGTGAGGACGTCTTTGCCTTCCCAATTGAATATTAGCAATTTCAAGACTTTGAATTCCTCTGTCATCATCAGTAGCTTTGCAAACCTCTGCACCTCAATCTGGCCAATATCCTGTCCCTGCTGAGGAGGAGCAATGCCCTCTGCCACCCTTTGCATTCGATCACTGGGAATGCCCAACCTACAAGCGACCCTGGCAGCGAAGTGGATGAATCTGATGTCGAGCTGTGGTACCAAAGCGGCCTTGAGAACGTCAATGTGAGCAGCAGCAGCAGCAGCAGACGAACTGCCATCACCCACATCCAGAGCCCTGTCTAACCTGGGCGGATTTGAAATGCACCAGTTGAGCACACCAATCAGATCCTCCTCTGTGCCTCCAAACCCCTCAACGGTAGCACTCACCTCATCAACAAACTCACCTTTGGATGAGTCAAGCGCATCCAGCCTCTCCCCACAATCAAACCGAATCGCATTGAAGTGCCGCTTGTTGTCCCGCTTCGCTGCGAGAGCCTCCTTGATCTCCTTGACAGAATCACAGATGATCCACTCTCGTCGCTCCTCCTCCATGGAAGTTTGCCCTGGATCGAAGGGGCAGTGGAGAGCACGAGTAAAACGTGAACCTTGCCAGCAGTGGACTAAAGAAAGTATGCCAGCTGTGGAAGAAAAGCAAAGCATATGCCAGCTGTGGAAGCAAAGCATATGCCAGCTGTGGAAGCAAAGCATATGCCAGCTGTGGAAGCAAAGCCATCGTATGAAAGCAAAGCGGACAGTACAAGCAAGAGAAAGCAAAGCGGACAGTACAAGCAAGAGTTAATTTAGGTTTTAGGGTTCTTCGAGCAAGACGGCCAAGGCGGCGGAGAAGCGAGCTCATCGCGACGAGAAGAAGGTGTGGGACGAGGATGATATTGATGCGATCTTGGTAAGCAAAGCTCTGGCCAAAGACTCTCAATCGTTTTCCTTCTTGTCAGGCTAAACTCCACGAGGAGAAAGCAAAGAAGAGCGAAATTCATGTCGATGAGAATGTAGCAGCTCCTTCACCACAATGCAATTGCTCTGTGCGTAAGAACTCGATTGAAATCTCCACTCTGGAAGCTCACATTCTCTAGAATTCTTCTTTCCTTGCGTTTCAGGTGACTGTAAATCCCGTCAAGGACACTGCGCTGATCGTCTATGGAGGTGAATACCAACAATGGTGACAAGGTTTGTGGTTAGTTTTGCTACGGTGATTTAATCTTCGTGTTTGCTATGCTAGACTTACGTTTATGGTGATCTCTACCAATACAACATCGAGAAGAACGAGTGGAAGCCTGTCACCAGTCCAAACCCTCCTCCCCGAGAAGCGCTCACCAGGGGGTTGCGTGGAAAAACTGGCTCTTCACTTTTGGTATGATGTATTTTTCCAGGACTTCTCTTGATTTTGGCAGTGTAGGTGGTGAATTCGGTTTCATCACTATAAGCTGTGTTTCTAGCTGACTTACAAGAGAGTTCTTGCAGGATTTATGGAGACTGGATTTAAACACAAATATGTGTGGCTGGAGCAGCTTCAAACTAAAAGGCTGTCCAGGTGCTCGTTCCGGACATAGATTGGTATGTATTGCGCTTCTAAACATAATCTTTATTTTTTTCTTTCTTGCCACAGAAACATAAACTTATTCTATTTGGTGGATTTTATGACACGCTGAGGGAAGAAAGGTCGGCTGTTTCAGCAGTGTAGATGTTTAGTATTGAATTTTTGACACAGGTACTTCAATAATCTTTAAGTGCTGGATTTAGACGATTATAAGGTTTGTTTCTGTCGCTCATCGTTCTTCCTTGTTTTTTAACAACTAAACTGATTTCCTTTTGCAGTGGCAAGAGATAAAACCCAAGCTTGGAGCTGCCTGGCCTTCAGCTGGAACTGGTTCTCAGCTTGCTGTTTATTTAGATGAGGTATTTGTCTACTAAAAGTATAGTTTTGCGTGTTGTGAACATTTTTTCTTTTCTAGATTTTCTTGTACGGTGGCTATTTCAAAGAGCCTGCCCCTGACAAAGATCAATCCGACAAAGCTGTAGTGCTCGCAGATATGTGGACGTTAGATCCACGGATTGGGAGTGGGACAAGGTTTGCTTGTTTTACATTCTCGTTTGGAGTTTTAGTTTTTCAATGTGTTTTGTGAAGGTGAAAAAATCCGGTATGGCTCCTGGCTAAGAGCAGGATTTTTGTCCAGTACGGTTTCAATGCATGCGTTGGAAAAACTAATGTCTTTTGCAGGTGATTCCCTGCACAGCGTTTTTATGATCGAGATGTATATGCTTTCCAGATGGTTTGTATCTCGTCGATTTTTTTAAAATTATCTAAACACCATCGCTCGCAGGTATCCTTTGGAGCTTCGCAAGCCAAAGAGCCTAAAGATTAAGGTATGGCAATCTGAGATTGTGTAGTGGTTAAGTGTGCATCCAAAGCAGAAGAAAGTGGTTGATCCAAATGTGGAAAATGCGTCTCAACGTTGAGCGTTCTGCTTGAAGGTTGTTGCCTTGTGGAAGAATGAATGCTGGAATGGTCGTTGGAAAGGATACTTTGTTTCTGTATGGAGGTATGAAAGAAGTCGGCAAAAAAAAAGTGACACGACGACCTTTCCTCGCTGGACCTTCGAGCATTATTGAGGTTAGTATGATCGAGCCATCATCCAGCCTCATACTAATGTCTCAAGCAGGAAACACAAAGCGCGTGGATTGAAGCTAGTAAGGAGAAAGGCGAAACTGATGGTGACAACAGTGATGCTGGATCGATTAATAAAGGAAAAGACGAAGAGGACGATGACGAGGTAGTAAAAAAGAAGGATGTAAGAAAACTTGTGAAGAGGCAGCTGCTATTCTTAGGGGCGAAGGCAAAAAGCTGACACAGAAAGGACGGAAATTAAAGATCGATCCGAGCTGGGCCTGGCTGATTCCCAACAAACACTTTTGGTGAGTGCTGATAGTAGTTCATCTTCCCTTTTTGTGACTGATTTGTCTTTCAGCCTGGAGAAACACTGAGAGATTTTTTCTCTTGGACGATCATGTATTGGCAAATGGCACCTTACGATCACACCCAACACACTGGAAAGGTGACAACGCAGGTTTTCTTTCGCTCGTTCTTCATGCTCTATGCATCTATCAGGAGCTCAGGAAGGATGGATTTGACTTGGCAAACACACGCTACAGAGAACTTAAACCCGTCCTTGACAAGGTAAAGTGGTGTCTCAAGAAGGAATCCTCACAACAGCATTGTTTGATTTGCAGCTTGCGAGACTTGAAGCCGACCACAACGCCGAAGAGGAGGCTACCAAACCTTCCAAAGAGCGCAGCAAGAAGAAACGATAAGGTCCGTGATCTCTGAAAGTTCTAGCTGAAAAATTAAATGAATACCGAGAGGTATGGTGAGTGCTTGCTTTCGGTTGCCTTTCGTAAAGTGCAGAGTGAACACTCTCTCTATGCGGTCCATAAACTTTACTACCTGCAGTGCATTGGAGCAATGAAATTCCATCAGCAAGACCCTCAAAGGAAAATTTCTTCACACCTTGTCCGACGTTGCAAAGTGAGAGCTTTCGACCATCTTGAGATAACTGCCAGACTCCAGTCACCTGAAAATTTAAATAACCTTTTTAGAAGTCCGCAGTAATTTTCCATTTTCCATAAGTACCTTGTCATATTTCTTGCGGATCTTGACGAATGCCATCACGTTCAAGGAGCTGCCAAGTGAGTTTTCAACACTTTGAGAACATGGATCAATCGTATAGAGGTCATTCACCTGAAGTTTCTTAGGAGTCGAAGCCCACGATAAAATTCGACAAAGGCCGTCTGGAGCATCTTGGCTGCTCGCTGAACCTTTCCTTTGTTGCCGGGCTCCCCTTCAAGCTCTGAGATTCGTCATCTACAACATGGCAGAGATCAAACGATTCCAAGTTAAGTGCCACAGAATTAGAGGCTGCTAGAACGAACCTTGCATAGCGATGAGCTCTTGCATTTGGATGTGAAGTTGCTGTGCTTGAGCATCGTACTCGTCTTCCTTGCATCTAAAAAACTTGTCCACTTTGTTGTGCTGATCGTCAAGGCCGAAAAAGAAGCTCTTTTCGTGATCCGATCGAGTTCCAAACAGCTCCGTCTCGTAAAAATCCTCGCCATCTGCAATTCTCGTCTTGTGCACAACCTGATCGTATTGAAGAGTTTTGTTTCGTCTTTACAGTCCAGAACATCCATGGACGTTTCCGAGGATATGGATTGTTCGCAGCAGCTGCTCAGGATGGCGCTGGGATTTTGCAGCAAGTTTTGAAGCTTGCTCTTGTCAACCGAGAAGACATTTGGATCGAACACCTTGTGCTGCTGGTTCTTGGTATGTAGGATCTGGTTTTTGATTCTCTTGACAACTTTCTTGAGCTGCTTGTAGTCGCAGTACTTCACCCGCCACTCTGGGACGAGCTGGCCCTCCAGCTGCTTCTGGAACTTCACCATGTCTGAAAGCTTGGATTACCTGACGCGAACATCGTCAAGAAAACGATCAAGCAGGAGATGAAATACCTGGAGGAAATGGTGTGAATGCTTCTTCAAACTTTTCTGGCGCCTGTGCTCTGGAAGCAGAGGAAGAACAGTGGCAGTGAGCATATAACGAGACAAATGGTGGCGTGGAATCATCAAATGCATTGTGCTGGGGAGGAGCACCACCAATTCTCACAAGAAAACAGCGTCTTAAGATCATCTCTGGAAAAAAGGAGGAAAGCCTTCGTTTCTCACCGACGCCAGCGAACAATTACATAAGAATACGTTTTCCCGAGTGAAACTGACGCAGCAGAGTGCAAGAGGAGAGAAGAAGCAAGCGATCCATTGGCCTATGGAACTAAAAAAGGAAGCAAAAGGACAGGGAATGCAGGGGAATCTACATGAAAAGAAGCTGTCATAAGTTACACACTTACATACACTCTCACACACTCCAACTCTTTTCTTGTCAACACGAGTAATTTATGCGAGCGAAAGGGAATGAAAGAATCATTTGAGCATCTAAAGCATGGAAGGAAGCGAGGCACGTACTCTTTCTGGAAATCACGCTTATGGAGCGTTTTGTTTCGTCGGAGGCGCGACCAAACTGAAAGAATCGCAAGCTCAGAACTAGGAAAGCAAAGAAAAAACTTACCGTTGAAAGGGGACGAAGAGGAGAAGAAGGGGACGAAGGAGGAGCCAAGCTTGGAATCGAGGGAGCTTGTCGAGTTCTCGAGGTGAGAGCCCTTTGCTCACTCAAAAACTTGGAGCCTTCTCTCCTTCTGCGAGAGGAAGAGGGAGCGGGGGGAGTTTGCAATGAAGGTGGTGGTCGCATTTTATACTCTGGTTGGCCGACTAGAGACACACAAGACATGGAAGAATAGTGGTGTGATAATTGCCCGACTATCATCAAAGAGGGGTATAAGGGTGAGAACTTTGTTTTGAATCACTGGATATGGAGCTCGGGATATGCTGAGAGAAGTCCGCCATACCACGCAGAAAGAAAGAGAACGAAAATAAATGCATTTTAGCTTATCTTCCATTCGCAATGCTCCACCTTCTTAGTGGCCGGATTATACTTTTCCTTTTCCTTGCCAGATTCTGCACGATTCTTCGCTAAGAAAGCCAAAACTTCTGGCTGTAAAGCATTGCACGTACCAGTCTGTGGGTTTTTAACATTGATCCGCATCGTTTTGTTGACGACGACAAAGCGATAAGAACGCCACCTCATATTGAAACACACGGCGGTTGTCAAGCGATAATTCAGCTCTTCGTCTGGAATGCACCAGCAATAAAATAATGCATATGACTCAGAAAGAAGAACTTAACGTACCCGTTCGCTGCCACTTATCAAACTTGACAACCCAAGTAACGTCCCCAACCTTCGTCGCACGAATTCGATCAACCCACATACAGAAGTTCTTTCCCCTGTGAATACCGTGGAGGGGTACCGAGATCCACGTCGCGCTCTCCTTGGCAGTCATCTTGTCTTGCAAGCACTTCAATCCAAGGCAATCCAATGTCCCAAGGGTTATCTTCATCACAATCCGCAGTGAGAACTCCAACCTTCCACACCTTCTTGAGATCATGGGGCTTCTTATACGGCGGCGGCCCCTGCCCCTTTGGAAGCCCAAGCTCGGGCCACCACTCCTCGTCGCCGCTCGGCCACCACGGCGGCGCCACCCCTTTCTCCAGCGGGTACCTCCGCTGGATCGCAGTGCTGCATTGCGTGGTGCCCTGGAGCTCCTGGAGAGTGTGTGGCGTCGGGGCGGCGGCGGAGAGCTGGCCAGCGCCTCCGCCGGATCTGGAGCAGATGCCGTGCTCCGCCTCGTACTTGGCCATGGCGGCGGGGCCGTTCCGATCGAAGCGGACCTTCTCCTTCCACCACGCGCGGATGTTGTTGCTGGCGCCGCTCACTGGCTTGCCCTTCTCGGGGATGATGCCATAGACGAATCCTTGGGCTTTGCAGACCTCCATCATCTTGAGCGTGTACTTGAGGATCCCGACCTGGGCTCGCGACATCTTCCGCCGGGATTGCTCCTGGGATTGCTTGTGCTTGGGGAGATTGCCCAGATTCTGGTGCTGCGCTGCTGGGCCGCCGTGATGCTGCTGCTGCTGCTGCCCATGGCTGTGATTCGAGTGATTCGAGGAGAATGCGTTGTTGACCCTGGCCTTTTGCTTGTCCTTGATCCGCTTGAGCCGCAGCCGATCGTTCCAAATCCTCTTCTCCAGCTCGTCCACGTCCATGTCGTCGTCGCTGAAATCCTCGTGATCCTGGACGACCGCCTGGCCCAGGCCTCATCGTTGTCTCCCACAAGATCCACGTCCAGGCCATAGCAGAGGTCCGGGTCGCCCCCGTGGAGCTCCATCTTGCGGATCGATCGGAGTGGAAGTATTTCGAGCGCCCGCTGCCAAGAGGAGGGAATATTTCGGAGCGATTACCTCCAATTCGCCATGGAAAGCCGAGGATCGAATGGGAAAAGCGAGGAAGATCACGGGAAGCAGAGAGAAAGAAGGAAAAAGCTCGATTCAACGCGAGCCCCTTGTGTGATTACCTAGCTCCATCGATGCCCCGTCGACGCGCGCTGCGCTCGCCGATCGCGCCCGTGACACAGTGGCGCAGCGCCTTCAAATTCGACACATTGCCCGGGCAAGCGTCACAATCCCAATGCCGCCACCGCTGCGAGGCGCTGCCAACACGATCAACGAGAATCGATGCCCTAGCGCATCAAGATCCCCGCTTTGCTCGGCGAGAGAGAGAGAAGAGCAATGGCGCAGCGCTCCTCGCCATAGCCAACTACTAGCTAATAGCTATCCATCCAAATGCCGTACAATTCTCCCCAGGTCGGGTTTATGACATGGAAGTCCACTAGCTTGACACGTGGCACAGCTACATCTGAATCCAGGCACCGTGGACGCCCTTTTCAGCCCTTCGGGCTTACGGCCAATTTAGCTATCTGCCTCAAATTTAGCTAACCGGTTTGTTGCCAGATTTAGCAGCTCCCCGAATTTAAATCACTTTTGTCCAAGCTGCCAGTTTGTCGGAATCCAGTTTGGACCACTGGGGGACGCCGGGCTCGAACCCGGACCAGCGGATGCCGCGCCGCGCCGGACTCGAGCCACGGACCGGCGGTCTCGTCGCCGGACTCGAACCCGCCTTCGTACGCTCTACGCCTCCACCGCTACCATACGCCTCTCTCTAGTTTATTATACGCCTCCAATCCTTGGTAGTGCTTCCTCATTATCACCTCTACGTGACAACCAACCCGGCGTAGAGTACGTGGGGTACGACGTTTGAAACTCCATTCATTTAAGAGAATAAAAGAGAGAACGCCACTGTAGCTAAACCTAGAAATCAAAAACTAAACTACATCGTGCCATTATTGGTTTGACTCTATGGCTTAGATGCAACACCTTTTACTCGGGCGGTGCCCTAATCCTCGCGAATAATAGAATATTCGCTACCGGAGAATATTCCGGAATCGGCCCGTGGTCCACATGATAGAGGGCAGTGACAAGAGGTTTTGGGCCCCCCCCCCAAAATGCTTATTTTTATTGTTCGCTGGGAGTCCATGTTCCCTCTTTAGCTCCCCATGTGTGGCCTTTGTTTTTGTTGCCAGCCAAAGAAACACACAGAAAGTTTGAAGGAGAGAGAGAGCGCAAAAATCTGAGAGGAGAGGAAGAAATGGCACCGGCTTTGATTGACTTTGCCCCGCTCCATTTCTTTGATCCCTCCATCTCCATCTCGTCCTTTTTCTTGTTCTACTCGGACTCAGACGATTCGATCCATGTCATGTTTCGCTCGAAGTCGATGGATCACTGCCCGATCACTCCACCACTTCTTGTCGACTGGAAAAGTCTTTAAATTCCTCTCGCTGATGCGATCAGCACGGCATTAGCCTGAGATCAAGGCCGCGGATCATCCAGCAAAGTCTAAGCTTTTTGCCACGGATGTGACAAGCTAACGTGTTGTCCAGAGCGCTTACAGATTCCATTGTTTTTTCCATGACAATTCTTTTTCCTCCGGTGACCGGCACGAAAGTCGTCCGAAGCAACCCAAACTGGAAACAAGATACATGCCCAGTTTCTCAGACAGATTTCCTCAAGCCCGGCAGCACACGGAAGACGAAGAAATTCGTTAAAAATCCACGAGCAAGCAGCAAGAGAGAGAGAGAGAGAGAGAGAGACATAAAGAACTTTGCCAAGCCCAAAGTCGTTGATGTTAAGCTAGGCCGTGCTTGAAGCGCGTGATGATGATCATGAAAGTTCCTGTCGAGATGCTCAGTGGATTCTCCGTGTCTCCAGCTAGAGACTTATCGATCAATCCACAGTGTGCGGCAGCCGTCGTTTCGCTCGATCGCTCCCTCGTTTGCAAAAGCTCGGACTTGACGATCCTTCTCTTTCTGCCATGGATTCCTCCATGAAGAGACCACCGAGCCAAGTTGCGAGAGTGAGGTTAAGCTGTAGTGATCTTACGGACATCCTCTTTTTGGATTGCTTCCTTTTTTACTCCGCGTATCATATCGACACTGTTGTAGAAGAAACAAACGAGTTTTGGAGGTAGCAACTTCCCTTCCATTTGATTGATACATGAAGAACAAGACATCGCTTGCAAGTGGAAGATCACACGGGAGATGTTTGGAGTCAAACTGGAACTTTCGTGATTGTTACGAGCACCTCCCCTGAAGCCAGCACCACACTATCTATCTGGTAATGTTTCAAAACGAGTAAACTAATCAGTGTTTGGGAATGAATGTTTGTGCTGCTTGGCCACTTGCACTGCGGCAGCAGAGGAGGATGTTTTGCGGCAACTATACCTGACTAAATCGAAGTACTTTAATTGCAATTTGCAAGATCACAAGTACTAGTCCTGAAGAAAAACAGCGAGATGTGCTTATAATCAAGGCATTCTTGCAACGCAAGTGGAAATTCACTATGTTTACCTGGGCTTTCCGAGGATGCTTCATCTGAATCGCATAGTGTCACCCTGCCATATGAAAAAGACAAGAGAAAAATTCTTACTCACTAGAGTTTGGCAATTTTACTCTAGTTACTACAATTTTTCCATTGTTGATACTCACTGTAGCTTAAGATGTAAAGTTTTGTGTCATGTTCTAGAATTTTGTCTATAGTTACAAAACCACAAGCTTATCCATAAATGGATTGATATTACTATAAACAATTAAAGAAAAAAATTTGAAAGACGATCAATAGAGTTCAAATATAGAGGGAAATGGCTCATGAATAAAAATACATTTTATTTTCCAAGTGTATTTATTTTTTCAATCGATTAAAGGTCTTGGGATATTTGGGGTTAAGTGTCTCTCGGTTGGGTGACTTCCCAGGAATTTCAAATTTAAGAGTTTATAATTACTTCAATGCAACAACTTCTTTCTCTTCCTTTCAGCTTCTTTTCTTTGCTTTTCAATATGTAGTGAATGAAATGCTTTCACTTGTAAGTTTTTCATAGATGAGTGAATAAAACTTGATTAACTCTTATAACCTATTTTTCCAAAGTTACATTTAAGATGGCTAAGTGAGCAGTGTGATGTGCTCTTATAATCAAGCGAATAGTTTCTTAACTTGTGCTAATCAAAATTTGCTCACAGATATAATATAAAATAGGTGAGGATGCAATAAATTTATTCATTCGAGAAAAATCATTCTTTTACTTCTTGTTAAATATATAGTTTTTGATTATGATGTTCTTCACTTTTTTTCAAGGGTGCAACATATACTCCCTTAGTCAAAGATGCAGTTGTTGATTCCATGTTATAGGTAAAAAATTGATAATTAGAATTGTTGCAAGTTTCAATATTAATTTTGGGACCAACTTCTAAAGTTTTACCAAGATTATTTTAAATTAATAAATTCAAAACTTTTTCTTGACAATCATGAGAAGTCAACACTTCAAGTTGGAAATATCACCAAAGTTAACCTTAACCATATAATATCCAATCTCATTACAACCAAAATGTGGCTTAGATTATTCAATAGCAATCCAAACACTTAACCATATTCATCACTTGGAGATGTAATGATAATTATCAATAGTTTGCTTTAGATATTGCTTTATAAGGAATTGTTCTCCTAAAAAACAATGGCTTACTACTTTTATTCACAATCTTGAAAATTGTGGCTCTTATAGGAAACAATATAAATACAACATACATGATACTTGGAACCATATAATATCCAATCTCATTACAACCAAAATGTGGCTAAAATTATTCATTAGCAATCCAAACACTTAACCATATTCATCACTTGGAGATGTAATGATAATTATCAACAGCTTGCTTTAGATATTGCTTTCCAAGGAATTGTTCTCCTAAAAAACAATGGCTTACTACTTTTATTCACAATCTTGAAAATTATGGCTTTTATAGGAAACGATGTAAATACAACATACATGATACTTGGAAACTACAAATTTGAAAGATAAGTTTTTTCTCAAAACTCTTTAGATATTATTTATGGTTTTCTTGGAGAAATGTCATACAAGTATGTATCACCTTTGCAAAATATGCAAATCTACAGTAATAACATCCTCTATTTATAATACTTATTTTGAGAATGTAGTCTCAACTCATCTCCAACATTTCAAATGCAACCACTTATCCTATTATTCTTGTGATCACTACTCTTTGTTGAT